TCTTTGCATCAATTGATTAGTTTGGTGAAGTAAAGAGCATGTACTCCCTCGACGGCCACTGCAGCTGATCACAGGAAATCTAGATAAAATGAGTGTAGTCAAAACAATGCTTTATGTTGATGTTTAATACATTAATAGTTTGTGAGTGAGAAGATTCTCTAATGCATTTCATCAAAAGATCAAACTTTTATTGAATAAGCTTTGAAAGCCTCGTCAAAGAGAGTTAAATTTTAATGAAGATATTCACCGATCCTATGAAAATCCTCACTTTTATGTGAATTCAAAGAAAATGTTGTGAGCTCGCCGTCATAAGCCATGCGTTAGATATTATCTGGTAAAGATTTAAAGATCAGCATTTGGTTTATATGTATTGGAATAAATATTTTAAATTGTTTTATATAAACGTATATGAAGTTTGATTACACTATAAAAGTCAAGGCAAAGGTCAGGGTCAAATATAAAAATGCGGATGCAGTAAAACATCTCACCAATATCTATCAGCATAGGAAGTTTGATTGCAGTATCCTACAGGTACGATTTCTTTGAATTTGGGCTAAACACTAATTTAAGGTCAAAGGAAAACTGACGGTCAAAACAGTTGAATAGCCTACATGTACATGAGTTTGTATCAGCAAATGAAGCTTGATTACACTATAATACACTAAGATTTCTTTAAAACTGAGCTAATCAATGATTTAAGAAAAGTGACGTCAAAGGAAAGGTCACGGTCAAAAAATGTTGATGCAGTTGAGTACTTCTCATCAATATCTATCAGCATAGGAAGTTTGATTAAAAAAAGTTTTTTTTTAGCTTTGACCTGAGCTAAACGCAGAGCGGGACAGAAGACGGACATGAGAAACTCTATAGGCCCCGGGCATGAAAGTTGAATGCATGGATTGGAATTAATCTTTTACTCATAAATATATAAGCATAATTCATTCATATGTTTTAATTTTTGGAAAAAGTATGTTTGTAGCAAGAGGTCTTAAATGATATTTAATTTGATGAAATGCAGCTGTACATGTACCATTGCTCAGGAGTCTTAAACAATCGATGAACGATATTCAACGCAAAAGCGCCCTGATTTCATCCGCAAAATATGTAAAAATTAGGAGTATATTGTCAGATCTGGAAAGCTTAGACTTGTGTTAATCTGGACGTACATCGAAAATCGTTGACGTACGTTATAGTATTTGCCTGGCAAGTCAAATAAAGGGATGTGCTAGAGCTCGCGCGAGCTTCTAATTACTTAACAAAATCGGAACTTCAGTGACGGCTCCTTTGGACGTTTCTTTTTCACTTGACCGCAGATCGTGCTTATTGCATATTACTGGGAAGACTCGGTTAAAGTGTTGATTGGTTTCATTTGTACAAACTGTCAAACTCTGTGTGGCTGAACAGCAAGCGAGATTAGCCACGGGAAACAAATTTATACGGAAAACATCTCATGTTGTTAATTCTTAAACAGAAGATTTTGAAAAGAACAAACGTGATTATCATTTTTGGTATGAAGATTTGATACGACGGTAATACTATTTGATGTTAATGGTTTTGACACGGGTGTAACCTCTTCCACAATTATACGTGATTATTTTAACATTAGTTCTAAGCAGCAGGTCATGTTTTTCTTAATTCTATAAAACCCCATCCGTGTAGAATTTTATTATTGGATTATGTGTTTGATGAAATTGGTCTATTTATCTCGAGTGAGACTCTGGAGTGGAGTACTGTTAAACTGAAACAGACACGGAGGAACAAGCGATATACGATTCTACAAAATATTTCTTTGCAAATACATTTATGTGTCCTGTAAAATTAATTTGACATTTATGAGCAGAATCGTGAGACCCTCCTCCCTTAAAAAAGGCATCTTTATACACAGTATTCAATATATCAAAGAACTGAAAGCACTGGTAGAAGTTTATTTATCTGATAACAACTTAAGGTAGTCCTATCCTCAGGTTTATAAAATTAGCAGTTAAGTAATCAAAACTACTCATAAAAGTATCTCTGAATCCACAAAATTACGTAAATTTATCCACAGTATTTCCTTAAAGTTAAACATTAAAGTTAATCATATTATATAGGGAAAATGATCAAATCTCCAATATTTTTGCAGAAAAGGCGAATTGGGAATATCAGCAATGTATTTTCTAATTGCAAATTGATCAACAAATATATTTTAGGTTAAAAAACGATAGGTATCCAGGCATTCAGAGAAATTGTCATGATTTTCATACTTATTTGGTATTTTTGGTCTTCCGTCATGTATTCTATAAAACATAGTGAAAAAGGCTTTTGCTATCATTGCAATACAACACAAATCACTTCTTATTTCATATCATGCTTATAAGCACTGGTATCTAAGGCTGGATTCAAGAAAATTTTATTTCTCTAAAACTGTTTTAATTTTTTTTCCTTTTAAAGGGTACAAATGTCAACTTTTATAAGACCTTTTCTAAGACTTCCAAAAACCTTGAATCTTATAAAGATGAATAATATGAAAATTGTTGCATGAAAAAATTTCATTTTCAAACTTCATTTTGATGCATTTCAAATTAAATATTAATTTTTGGAGTTATCCTTCCTGGTTGAGGATCGGATATCCTTAAAGCCGCTTAATCCGAAACAAGCACATATTATCTTACACAATAAAAGTACGTCATTATATAGAAAATGTATAAAAATAAATTATAAGATTAATTAATAGTTTATTACAACAATCCTGACAAGGAAAACATAGATCAATTACCTTATTGACAAACAGAAGTTCCTGGCGGGAAGTTAAGATATGTCTTGAAGTCACCTTTGTAAAAAAAAATAATAAATTTATCGGTTTTATCTAAATTATGAAGAACAAACCCGAGTATTTTTTTCCATTTGTACATAATGTAGAAGCCTAAGTCATGATATATTTATTAGAAATTAAGAAATTAACTGAATATAATCCACAGTAATTTTTGACTTAATATGCACATTTAAAAGAATAAAGGAAAATCAGATATTTTTAAAGATTTTTTTAAAGGAAGTTTAGTAACGAAGGCTAAAATATTGTCCGTGTACAGGTTATATTAAGTACATGTACTTTGTTGTGAAAAAAATGCTCGGGTTTGTTCTTCATAAATCTAGATATACAAATGTAAGCGATATATTCAATTTTCGAAGGTGATTTCACACGTTTGCAATAATAGATATCGTCATAGGTTTATTTTTTGTGTGACCTAACAAAAATTATTTTTTTAACTTTTGAATTTTGGTATCTTTTAAAAGAAAAAGACTTTTGGGATATAATTTGACAAAAGTTAAACAATTCATGGACAATTATTTTTCAAGAAGAAAAAGGAATATATTTTTTTGCGATTAGAATCGGACTTAGCGGCTTTAATCTTTTTACAATCTGTAAAGTGAACAACATGTAGACTTCATATTTGGTCTGAGAGTAGCGAATGTGCAGGATTTTACGGGACTAGCATCTTTTAAAAATTCTGGCAAAGTCAATTTCTTCCTTTTACATTTTCATCGGTTTGTTGCTCGTTAAACCATTAATTATAATACTTTTAAGGACAGATGATACAAACAAATTTTTTCTTTGAAAAAGATTAAATATCATGTCACAAGTTTAGAAAAGTGGATGGTTCTTATATTTTGTTCTCCTAAGAACTGGAATATGAAAAACACTTGGAAAATATTAGTAATATTTCAATGAAAAAACAAATATAGACAAATCACATTCAGTAAAGGTTTACAGGTGAAAACAAATTTCAGAATATGTTATCTTGGTGCTTACAGTGTAATATAAACTGAAGAAAAATATACCAAGCCAGGTGAATTTTATTAGGAAAAGCTAAGTTGTAAAAATCAGCTTATGTGATATTGCTAATTTTTTCTCATTTTGTTCCTCCTCTTAAAATTCACCTGGCTTGGTATATTTTTCTAAAGTTTATACTACACTTTTAGCACCAAGGTAACATATTCTGAAATTTGTTTTCACCAGTAAACCTTTACTGAATGTGATTTGTCTATATTTGTTTTTTTTTATTGAAATATTACTAATATTTTCCTAGTCTATTTCATTTTCCAATTCTTAGGAGAAAATATTCTAAGAAATATCCACTTTTCTAAACTTGTGACATGATATTTAATCTTTTTCAAAGAAAAAAATTGTTTGTATCATCTGTCCTTAATTTTCAAACTTGTAATAAAGCTACATGATAAAACTTTTTTTTCGATGACGATAGTCATTAAACATTTCACACAAGTTGATCAAAAATAGCAAATTCATTAAAATGCTTAATTCAGTCTATAGCAGTCTAAAACGTTATTTATGGAGACACTAAATTCACAGTTTTTTATCAGATAAAGAACTAGAAATACAGTGATATCGAATTATTAATGTGTTTTGTGCATTCGATCAGATTGAATCTGATAAATGTATAATTTTTCTTTACGATTGCAGTGACTAAGTACAACATATTATAATCAATAAAATTATCGACACAATATATTATACTGAATCAGAGTGCTGTTGTTACACTCCAAGTAATCCTCCAGAACTGGTTTTAAACAACTTCCAATCAGCCATGTAAAATTATTCGGGAAATTCAGAAAATATTTTTGAGTTTCAAATTAATGGACCGTACTAAATGAAAATGCATCACAAATAAAATATGAAGAAATGCAACACGATAAAGCATATATGCTCTTATTGTAACTTCAAACATGTACAATGTAAAACACCTAGGTTCTATTAAATCTGCTGATATACAGTCACCTGAACTTTTGTTCCAAATACAGGAAATATTAATAATTTTATTCACATAATGTTACGATATCTTATTCTGACGAAAGGTAAAGTCTACAAAACATGATTATACTGTTTGACCCTGAAAATGAAAACAGGCATTTATATCTCTTTTATTAAATAAAAATATAATTAATTATTTTATTCATTATATTTGAAGGGAAGGATAGAATAATTGACACTTTTTGTATATTTTCAGCTCTACCTCAGGAGCTTTACATGGTGTGGGAGGCCTACCCCTGGCGGCTCGGAGAGGGCTTCTGTATCATCAAAGCCTTTATCACGGAAATGTCTGCGTATGCATCCATTCTTACCATCACTGCCTTCACGTTTGAAAGATGGGCAGCAATATGTCATCCAATGAAATTACAAAAACTCTCCAATTTGTCCCGAGCCATAAAGGAGATAATAGTGATATGGGTTCTATCCTGCCTCTGTGCCCTGCCTTATCCGATACACACTCGAACGTTTTACGCCTTGGTCCATCCCGTGACGTCAGAACCCCTTCTGGCTTCAGTTGTCTGCAGCTTTCCTATAGAATGGCGCGAACTTATGCAGCTGTTCCTTCAGTTATCAACATTTGTGTTTTTTGTGTTACCCATGACTCTTATAACTCTCATCTATATCCGCATCGGAGTCACGCTCTACAAGTCAGAGGTGGTTGGGGTTCAGCAGAATTCTTCAGGAGTAGAATGTATAGCACAGAAAAGAAAGAAAGTGTATAGTGTAACTCAGGCTCGAAAATCCGTACTAAAAATGCTAGGTATAGGAATTGTTCGTGAATACTTCAATTATGTAATTGCTTTCAAAATATAAATGCACATAACCTGATTTGGGTAACTGTCATTTTAGTTGCCGTGGTGATAGCGTTCTTCGCCTGTTGGGCACCATTCCACGCTCAGCGTCTGTGGACTATCTACATGAAGAAAGAGCAATGGACACCCGAGCTTCTAGAACTCCAAAATCACGTGTTCTTCCTGTCAGGTAGTACCTATCATAAGGGTTGGGCTCTTTTTAAAAGAAGAAATTATTTTTCTAGCTAGCCTGAGCAACATTTTGTTTGATTGTCATAAGATGTTGTTTATTGTAGGCGTGCTGTACTTCTTCAGTGCTACCATTAATCCTATCCTATACAACCTGATGTCGAAAAAATACAGACAAGCATTCAGACAAACCATGTGTGGTCGTCTGCGCCGCCCTGATCCCCGCAGTACCTACGCGTCCTCTTTCAGTCCCTCCCGACAGAGAACGATTAACTTCGGCTACTCCAAAGTCACCAAGTCTCCAGCTGGACAATTCAGCATTGAAGAAACGGAAAATACATTTGCAGAAAGTCAAGCATAATTAATGACATTTTTAGGGAAATTAACATTTTAATGAATTGAGAAGAAACTTTGGTTTGTTACGGTAGACTTTTCTATGTTCTGAATCCTTTAATTTGTTACAGTAAAAACATGTAAATAACTTGTGTGTTTCATATTTGTTATAACTAGTACAAATGTGTGTAGATTTTTTGGAAAATGGAAAAGTCATTGATATTTCAAATTTTTAATTCAATATGACTTTTCTTTTATTGCATAAAAGCAAAAAAAAAAATAAAAAAAAAAAAAAAAAAAAAAAAAAAAAAGAAAGAAAGAAAGTTAACTCTTTTATCATTTTACAAGTTTCATTTAATGACTTTTGATAAGCAAAAATTAGAGAATGTAAATATAAGCATTGAATTCATATTTTGGGATGTCTTCGGTCCTACAGTGTATAACACACATGGCCGTGCTGACAAATTGAATTGATAATTTGTCGGCATGGCCAGGTGTGTTATAGGACCGAAGACATCCCAAAATATGAATTCAATGCTTATATTTACATTCTCTAATTTTTCCTCTTTATAATTGTTTATTTGGGTAATCTTTAATGTGAATTTTGCGCCCTCCAAAACTGGTGTGCTTATAAACGTAAAAGCCGTTTTTGACGTTTGTGACGTTGCAGAGTTAAATAACACAAATTTAAACGAACATTGCGAAGTGACAAATTAATCTTAAGCGCACATTTGTTGTATTTTTACGTTAATTAATTTAACAATTTTTTTATTAAATTGTGTCAAAACAATGTACATTTTGGTGTTCCTAGAGTATTTAAAATGATATACTAGTAGTTCCTACTGTGTATTCTAACGCGCGGTGACAAGGTTTCGCGTGTGTTATAGAGATTTTAACGTCGTTTAGAAATTTTAATTTTTAATGGATTTTATAAAGAAAATTGCATTGAATGTAAATATTACTTAATATGACGCCTTTTGATATGAACATTCTTTAGTTTAGGGTACACACCGACTTGATACACACCATTCCTGTCTAACAAGAGGTGCACCAACATTTAAAACAAACACTCATTCAATTGTAAAAATATCTCATGGTGTATTTTAGAACATTATAATAATTATTCTTCTTGATTTTTATATTGACCTCAAACCCCGTCCCCTTTCAAGCAATATTTTAAACAGTGACAAGACAACATCCTATAAAGCGTAATTTTTATAGTTGATTCTTATAGGTATATTGTACAAAGTTAAAGATCTAGGTTAAATTACAAAGTGAAATTTTCGAATGCCTTTTGAATACAAATATAAAAATTATACAATACAAATGAAAAATTTACAATGCAAATTGAAAATTATACAATACGAGGGTTGATCCAAAAGTTCGTGGAATTTCTTTCTAAAATTTTATTGCGATTTGATGAAAGCAAACAACATGCATATTTATAATATAGAGTCATAATGCAACAATATTGGAAAATTTCATCACATTCCAATTACCAACTAGAGGTACTGTGAGCAATGAGCTCACTAAATGATACCCCCCGCCTCCCATATGATTATAATGGCAAATTGCATGTTTTGGGGTGGCTATTTGAAAAAAATAAAATAGGAGGTACAATGTTGTAATAAAGATTCTGTGAAAGTTTCATTTAATTTCACTCCGTGGTTTAAGAGGAGTTGAGGATAAGAGATGGGTACCCCAAAGCGTAACAGACGGACGGACAGACGGACGGACGTCGACGCAACGTCAAGCTTTTCAAGACACGAGCTTTCTGAAAATGGATAGTTGTGAAACCCAGGGGAGACTTCGACGCAACGTCAAGTTAGATATGTCACGTCACGTTATAGAGGCATCTCACTCTAATGTCCGATACGAATATGTAATTCTACAAAATGCTACCCTCTTCACCTTTTTTTTCTCAAGCAAAGCCTGGGTATCTTCTCGCACAAGTTTTCTTCATTTTATCACTCATATATTTCAAAATACTCCTCATCTTGCCATATGGTGTTCATAAATTAGTAGCAATGTCATGAACAGTTCGTCAGCAGACAACCCCCATTAATGCTTTTCATTTGGAAGATAAACACTTAAAACAGAGCCTCCAAAAGGCAGTCACACCTTTTATTAACGTACATGGAAGTTCCATTTTTCTTAAATTTCTTATGCCACTGAAAAAATAGTAATTTAAGACATTTTTCCCTAGCCAATGTCAATAATATATGCTCATTTCAGACAGAATGATCCCTTGATTTTCACAAAACTGATGACTTGACCGAAATTTGACTTTGTCGAACAACTTAAAGATAAACTAGAGGTAACTCATCAAGCTACTAAACTAAATATCCATATAATTATAATGGCAAAGTCCAAGCTGTGGCAAACAAACTATGTGTCGGATCAAAAAGTAAAAGAGGAGGTGCACAATGGCAATATGTAATAAAGATTCTCTGAAAGTTTCATCAAATTTCATTCAGTGGTATGAGAGGAGATGCGGATTAATTCCCAAAGCGTAACAGACGGAGAACACCAAACACGTAACAGACGGACGGATCGGTTTTAGGAATGGTAAACGATTACTATATACCCTCCCGCTTTTCAAGCGGGGGGTATAACAATAAATCATCAACTAGTAAACTAAATATCCAGTAAAATCAGTTAAACTCTCACACAAAGGTTTATAAAAGATCAAGCAATCGTAATAATGACGTTTCGTTTTATATACGACATAGGGCGGTTTAATTCTCATTTCACATACTAGAGAACACCAAACACGTAACGAACGAGCATCTGTTTTAGGAATGGTAAACATGTTTACTTTGTGATTACCTGTTTAACTGACGAAACGTACGTACGAATCACACGTATAGAAAAATAATTTTTTTTTTGTCAATTTGATAAGTATAATCGCTTTGGTGTTCCATGTACCAGTATGATATAAATATATGCATATGTTCAGGTGTGTTTTTATTGATTCCTTTTAATTAACTTATAATAAATGAAAATTAATCCATATTATATTAAAGCATTGGCAGACCAGAGGGGGGTTCCGGGGGGTTTGAACCCTAACTTATTTTTGTAAGCACACACACACACACACACACACACACACCCTCACCCTCACACACACACACACACACAGAGAGAGAGAGAGAGAGAGAGAGAGAGAGAGAGAGAGAGAGAGAGAGAGAGAGAGAGAGAGAGAGAGAGAATAGCTATTCTGTAATAGATATTTATATGTCTATTCATTTGAAAAATAAAAAAAATCGCTGTCCTTTCTGCTCGATAGATCTTTAGATTTTCGCTTATTTGCTTTCCTCTTTGTACCTTCAAAACCCCGTGTAAGGGCTCTGAAGATCCACAAGTAACATGCAAGGAAGATTCCAGCGAACTCTAGCTATACCATTTTTGGACCATCTTCAGAAGTAACTAACTTTTAAAAGTATGCCTATTAAATTTTTAATCAATATTGAAAATGCTAAAATGTACCTGTAGTATGTAGAAGGAGGGGGCTTACTTTTTCTGAGAATAATCTTTTGCTGCAGTTTTAAATAATATTTGGTTTTGGAAGCTCCCTCCACACTTTTTTTAGCTGGAAAATACGCAGATTCAATATTGAAAGTAAAGTACCGAACAGAAAAGTGACACGAAGCCCCCCTCTACCCCCTCCCAATTTCAGAAAGTGGTGTATATGGTTTTTTTTGTTTTATGTTTTGTCTGGGTTTTTTTATATTTGTTTTGTTTTGTTTTGTTTTTTTTTTTGCTTGTCAAATGTTTTTGGAGCCCCCTTCTTATAAATAAAGCTACGGACTTGAAGTGGCCATGGTGTGATTCTATGCATGAGTGCTGGGTACACCGACCTGGACCCCCTCTCCCTTTTTTCAAAAATGGCTGGATCCGCCAATGTTAAAGGATGTCCTTTGTTTATTACGATAATGTTATATACATGGCACGCCAAATTCACAAAAATGAGCTTAACATAGTTTCACATTCGATAAACTAGGTTCATCGGTTGTAAACTATAGATTACGGACTGTAAACTATAGTTAACAAGTTGAACGTTAATCTATATTTTACATCTGTAAACCATAGTTAAGGTAATAATCTATGTTTCAGAACCGTTAATTGTACTTAACAATGAAAACAATCATTTGCAGTTGCAAAGCATAGATTATCTGATAAATACAGTTTCACGATTTTGTAAACAATGGTTTACAGCTCTTAACTGTAGTTCACGATCTGATAAATATAGTTTCACGATTTGTGAAACTATGATTAACAACTCTTAACTATAGTTCTCGATTGTAAATTACATGTATAGTTTACAGACGTGAATCTATGTTTATCAACAAAATCTATTGTTAACGTTTTCTTACAGACAGATAAACTTAGATTAGCATTCGTAAACTATAGTTAACAACTGTTTAATATAGTTTTACAGATAAAACTGCAGTTAAGGAATTGTTAACTATAGTTTACGGTTTTTTATGGCACGCCAAATCCACAAAAATGAGCAAAACATAGTTTCACAGTCGATAAACTAGGTTCATCGGTTGTAAACTATAGTTTACGGACTGTAAACTACAGTTAACAATGTTAATCTATATTTTACATCTGTAAACCATAGTTAACGCGAAAATCTATGTTTCACAACCGTAAACTATACTTAACATCGAAAACAATCATTTGCGATTGCAAAACATAGATTATCTGATAAATACAGTTTCACGATTTGTAAACTATAGTTTACAAACCGTTAACTATAGTTAACGACCTGATAAATATAGTTTCACGATTTGTGAAAGTATGATTAACAACTCTTAACTATAGTTTACGATTGTAAACTATAGTTTACAAACGTGAATTTATGTTTATCAACAAAATCTATTTTTAACGCTTTGTTCAGACAGATAAACTTAGATTAGCATTCGTAAAGTATAGTTAACAACCGTTAAATATAGTTTTACAGATGAAAACTATACTTAACGAATCGTTAACTATAGTTTACGGTTTGTAAAGTATAGTTTACAGTCGATAAACCTAGTTTATCAATTGTGAAACTAGGTTTATCTCATTTTTGTGAATTTGGCGTGCCATAGTTTTTAAACTATAGTTTACAGCTGATAAATCTAGTTTATCAAGTGTGAA